TTCTTCCTCCATACTCGGGGTCCTTGGGCCTCTCCATTCTTTCTCCATACTCGGGGTCCTTGTGCCTCTCCATTCTTCCTCCATACTCGGGTCCTTGGGCCTCTCCATTCTTCCTCCATACTCGGGTCCTTGGGCCTCTCCATTCTTCATGCATACTTGGGGTCCTTGGGCCTCTCCATTCTTCCTCCATACTCGGGGTCCTTGGGCCTCTCCATTCTTCCTCCATACTCGGGGTCCTTGGGCCTCTCCATTCTTCCTCCATACTCGGGGTCCTTGGTTTCCAAATGAGATGCAAAAGTTGCTCTCATCAGAAAAGAGGACTTTGGACCACTGAGCAACAGACCAAGTCTGTTTTTCTTTAGCCCAGGTAAGACGCTTCTGACTTTGTTGTTCAGCTTGACAAGAGGAATACGACATTTGAAGCCCATGTCCAGGATCCGTCTGTGTGTGGTGGCTCTTGATGCACTGACTCCAGCCTCAGTCCACTCCCCAAGTCCTCAAGACTTTTGAATGGCCTTTTCTTGACAATCCTCTCCAGGCTGCGGTCATCCCTGCTGCTTGTGCACCTTTTTCTTCCACACTTTTCCCTTCCACATAACTTTCTATTAATGTGCTTTGATACAGCACTTTGGGAACATCCAACTTCTTTTGCAATTCCCTTTTGAGGCTTTCCCTCCTTATGGAGGGTGTCAATGATGGTGTCAGGTCAGCAGTCTTTCCCATGATTGTGATTCCTACTGAACCAGACTGAGAGACCATTTAAAGGCTCAGGAACCCTTTGCAGGAGTTATGGCTTAATTATCTGATTAGAGTGGGACACTTTGAGCCGAGAATATTCCACCTTTTCACAATATTCTCATTTTCTGAGATTGTGGATTTGGGGTTTTCATGAGCTGTAAGCCATAATCATCACAATGATGACAAATCACGGCTTGAACTATCTTGCTTTGCATGGAATGAGTCTATCTCATATATTAGTTTCACCTTTTAAGTTGCTGCACTGAAATAAATGAACTTTTGCACGACATTGTAATTTTTTGAGTTTCACCTGTATTTCCCTTTTTGTCTTGCTGTTGCTTGTTCTCTTTGTTACTTTGTAATACCTCTGGTTTTGTAAATGTTTTGACCTTTTCATTATTAACCCCTCCCCCTCCGGAGGATTTCCCCCCCTTCCTGACCAGGCCATTTTTTGCGTTACTTTAGCTGACGATTGTGCGGTCAAGCAACGCTGCACCCAATGAAATTTACATCCTTTTTTCCCCACAAATTGAGATTTCATTCAGTGGTATTTGATCCCCTCTGCATTTTTAATTTTTTCTGCGCTATAAAAAAAAGACAGATAATTTTGAGAAAAAAAAACAATATTTTTGACTTTTTGCTATTAAACATGTCCAGTAAAAAAAAATGTAAAAATCTAATTTTGGCATAAATTTGGGCCAAAATGTATTCTGCTCCATGTCTTTGCTAAAAACAAAAATCCGAATCCGTGTAAATTAATTGGTTTACATGAAAGTTACAGCATTTACAAATGGCGGTATAGATACTGAAATTTTTTATTTTTATTAGAAATGGCGGCGATAAGCGACTTATAGCGGGACTGCAGTGAACACTCTGACACTGGAGAGAACTGACTTGGTGTCACTGACATTCCCAGTGACACCAATACAGTGATCAGTGCTAATAAAAACCACTGACACTGTACTAATGGCACTGGGCAGGAAGGGGTTAACATGAGGGGCAATCAAAGGGTTAACAGTGCAGTTTCACTACATGTGCTGTGTTTGTGCTTCTCTGTAAGCACACTATTTTGTATGGCTGTGCTATGCAGAGCCATACAAAACAGTGTGCAGGAGCTGACAGGGGAGAGATCTGTATAGTTTACATACAGTCCTCTACCCTGTCGGTGATACTCGGCGATCACTGGGTGCCAGCGAGTAAATCACCGGCTGGGACCCGGTGACTGACAATGGAGGCTGTGAATGGCGGCACGGGTAGGGCCCCCTACCCGGAACTACAAAATCATGTGCGCACCCGTGCCGCCTTGTAGCAGTATTTCTGCTCTAGGACGGACGGGAAGAGGTAAAAAACTATTTTGTGAAGTGTTGGCATTGTCTCTAAATGCGCAAATCCAAACTAAAAGAATCCCTGTCTCTTGAAGAGTGCTCCTGTAGTAGAAGTCCTCTGAATATTCCTGTCTGCGGTGACCGTGTGTGTACACATTTGTTCTAAAATCATAGTTGTTATTACTAAGATTGTGAGTAAGGTGGTGGTAGCAGCTTACAGACTTAATTGCTTAATTAACTTAACCCAGTGACAATCGCTCTGAGGATGCTGGCACCTAGATTGTGGTCCTGCGAGCTGGAAAATCTTTGTGAGGAGTGGCAGTGTTATGTAAGTGACAGCGCACGGTGTGAGATTGGCCAGACCTTTGTCATGATTTGGTGAGAAGGTCAGGGATCGGGCACTGTATTCGTCTCCGGTATTTCAGGAAAAATTATGGCCACTAGTTTCGTCCATCAGGCATGGTTTCTACTAATACCTGAGATCATACTCGTGCACCTAGGAGTTCAGTGGACATTGATGGACATAAGGTAATTAAACCCATAGGGAGAGAGTTGCCAAAACTGGAGCACTCAGAATGTGGTGCAGCTGTGCATGGCAGTCAATCAGCTTCCGAATTCAGCTTGTACAGTTGAACTTTGACAGTAAAAGCTGGAAGCTGATTGGTTTCTATGCAGATTTGCATCAGATTGAGCAGACTCCAATTTTAGTAAATAACCCATAGAGTATTCAGTCAGCCAGCCAGCCAACCACCAACCAACCAGCCCAGCCAACCAAACAACCAGCCAACCAGCCAGCCAAACCAACCATCCAACCAACCAGCCATCCAACCAGCCAACCAACCAGCCATCCAACCAGCCAGCCAACCAACCAGCCATCCAACCAGCCATCCAACCAACCAGCCATCCAACCAGCCATCCAACCAACCAGCCATCCAACCAGACATCCTACCAACCAGCCATCCTACCAACCAGCCATCCTACCAACCAGCCATCCTACCAACCAGCCATCCTACCAACCAGCCATCCAACCAACCAGCCATCCTACCAACCAGCCATCCTACCAACCAGCCATCCAACCAGCCAACAACCAGCCATCCAACCAACCAACCAGCCAACGCATTTGGTCACTAGATGATTTTAAGTATCATAACAATTAGTGCCGTCTAGTTACCAAATACAACATTTTCCATTTTAAATCAATGGAAACCATTTAAATGTAAGCACAGCAAATCGCCTAACAACATTTGTTTGCCCCCCCCCCCCCCCCCCCCCCCCCCCAAGCATTCACACAGAAGGACTGTACATGCACTGTCACCGGGTGAAATGCTATGCAAAATATTTATGAAAAGACCTCCTAAATGTCAAAGGACATTTATTAACTGCAACCCGCTCAGCTTCCAGTCAAAGCATGGCCAAGTGGGAGATCTCTCATTCCTGATGGATATCTTATGACATCCTCCCAGTCATGCACCCTAGCAGTCCATTGGACACAGCAGATGACAGATCTCTGTACTGGGCCTGTCCCAGTGCCATGTAATGACTATGATCATTCAAAGCAATCACATGACATTTGCACACAATGAATGACTTTTTATTCATAGCCATTTATCATTGTATGTTATTGTGGCGATCTCTGTGATTGTCCACCGTGATCATGTGGTACAAAAAGGGCCCATCACAGCCCATCTGCATCATGTGATAGCTGTGTGGCCAATCACAGCTCTCTCAATATTATATAAGAGGCATGAATGTATGCCATTCATAAAAATGACTGCTTATAACAGTGATCATTGTTATAAGCAATCATCGTTTAAAACAAACAAACTGATCACCTCCCCAGAGTAGTAGTGTCACTTTTGTTCATAGCCATTCATCATTGTATGGTATTGTAGCGATCTCTGGGATTGTCCACTGTGATCATGTGGTACAAAAAGGGCCCATCACAGCCCATCTGCACCATGTGATAGCTGTGGCCAACCACAGCTCACTCAATAGTACATAAGGGCCATGAATGTATGCTGTTCATAAAAATCAGTTCTTATAATAGTGATCATTGTTATAAGCAATCATCGTTTAAAACAAACAAACTGATCACCTCCCCAGAGTAGTAGTGTTACTTTTTGTTCATAGCCATTCATTGTATGGTATTGTGGCGATCTCTGTGATTGTCCACTGTGATCATGTGGTACAAAAGGCCCATCACAGCCCATCTGCATCATGTGATAGCTGTGGCCAATCACAGCTCTCTCAATATTATATAAGAGGCATGAATGTATGCCATTCATAAAAATGACTGCTTATAACAGTGATCATTGTTATAAGCAATCATCGTTTAAAACAAACAAACTGATCACCTCCCCAGAGTAGTAGGGTCACTTTTGTTCATAGCCATTCATCATTGTATGGTATTGTGGCGATCTCTGTGATTGTCCACTGTGAAAAGGGCCTATCACAGCCCATCTGCACCATGTGATAGCTGTGGCCAATCACAGTGATCACTGTTATAAGCAATCATGGTTTAAAAAACAAAAAAACTGATCACCTCCCCAGAGTAGCAATGTCACTATGGTATGATTGAACTTGTTACTAAACCCACAACAGTGAAATCAGTCTGTATATGCAGTAAAGCATGCTTGTTATACTCACTGTGGGACCTAAGGGGTTAATCCTCCGCATTGTGTAAAAAAGCTGTTTGATCCTGTCTTCTCTGCCGCTCCTCTTGTTGAAATGTCCACCTAATACAGACTGAATCTGTAGTCACATGCACATGCTCAGTTTGGTGTGTATTGCTAGAAAGTTTTTTTTTTTATTGGGAGGTTGCATGTGATCAGCACAGGACCAATCAGCACTGTCCAGACAAAGGGTCAGAAGTTTCACATCCTCCTAGAGCAGAAAGAAAACTTGTCCTACAAACTTTAACCAGTGCTCTGCTGAATGCACAAGACTGCTATATACTGCTGATGAGAAAAGGTATTTAGCAGTTTATATTTACTAAAATAATTACATTTCCATGTTCTGTGTACTGTGGGAGACCAGATATAGTGAATGAGGGGTCTGGGGAGAGCGGATATAGTGAATGCGGGGTCCAGGGAGATCAGATATAGTGAATGCGGGGTCTGGGGAGAGCAGATGTAGTGAATGTGGGGTCTGGTGAGAGCGGATATAGTGAATGCAGGGTCTGGGGAGAGCAGAGATGTAGTGAATGTGGGGTTCCGGGGAGAGCGGATATAGTGAATGCGGGGTCCGGGAGAGAGCGGATATAGTAAATGCGGGGTCCGGGGAGAGCGGATATAGTGAATGCGGGGTCTGAGGAGAGCGGCTATAGTGAATGCGGGGTCCGGGGAGACCGGATATAGTGAATGTGGGGTCCGGGGAGAGAGAATGCAGATATAGTGAATGCGGGGTCTGGGGAGAGCGGATATAGTGAATGCGGGGTCTGGGGAGAGCGGATATAGTGAATGCGGGGTCCGGGGAGAGGGGATATAGTGAATGCAGGGTCCTGGGAGAGCGGATATAGTGAATGCAGGGTCCTGGGAGAGAGCGGATATAGTGAATGCGGGGTCCGAGGTGTAAGCACCTGTGGTAGTGAGCTCTATTGTTCCTCAACTTGGGGTTCCCCAGGATGCCCCAGCCTGCTTGTTCACCAGAGCCCCTGATGTTGGGGATGGACTTGCAGGAAGCTGGGACCAGGTCGCGGTCCCCAGGTACACCCAGCTGAGGTGGAGGAGACAGCTCCTGGGAGCAGAGTATAACAGGAGAAGACAAACGGAATCCAATAGGCAAGCCGAGGTCAGGACAGGCAGAAAACAAGCAAGGCCAGGGAACAAAGCCGGGGTCGGTACACAAGTAGACAACATAGGAATCAAACAGCAGAAACACACGGGAGCTCCAACAACTAAGAAGTTGCTCAGGCAAAGTGGCCTAGTCTGAGCACATCTTATATAGACAGGCAAACAAGGAGGCGGGACAGGAAGTGATGGAAGGGAAGGAAATAAAATCCAGAGGACAGCAGACGATGCCCATAGATGAGCACAGACAAACATGAGAAGGGATCAGGAACAAGGCTACAGCAAGAAGGTAAGAACACAAATGAAACTGCGGTCTAACGTGACATTGCCCCCCCCCCCCCCCTTACGAGGTCTCCCCACTCTTTTAGGTTTAAGGGGAAACTTCAGATGAAAAAATTCCACCAGACGGGGTGCAAAACATCAGTAGAAGGAATCCAACAACTCTCCTCAGGACCATATCCCTTCCAGTCCATTAGATACAAGAGCTTCCCTCTGATGAATTTCGAATCCAAGATTTGCTTGACTTCATACTGATCCGAAGTACTCGCTATTGGGAAAGGATGACAATGAAGACGGGAAAATCTGTTGATGATATACAGCCTCAGAAGAGAAACATGGAAAACATTAGGGATTCTCAGATTTGAAGGGAGGCAAAGTTTAAAAGCAACAGGATTGACCTGGCGAAGGATGGTAAGGGGACCAATGAATCGAGGAGCAAATTTCATAGAGGGTACCCATAGACGATACTCTGTAGAGAGCCAGACCTTGTTACCAGGGAAAAATTTGGGATTCACCCAGTGATGCCGATCTGCAGCTACTTTGTACTTGGAAGCTGACAAATGTAAGTTATTTGGAAACATTTGCCTCAGAAGGAGTAAGAATGGGAGAACACATGACAGGAAACTGGGCTGGAGCAGACACCAATAACCAGGATGAAGGGTCTGGTGAGGAGGCTGCCAGGGAGGGCACAGGAGTAGGCGTGAAGGCTTTGATTTGTACAGTGGGCAAGACAGGCTGTGCAGAACAGGAACCTGGGGTAATACAAGAGACGGAGGGCACTGTAGGGTGTATGGGGGCATTACAGGGGACAGAGGACACAGTAGGGTATATGGGGGGGCAGGACAGGGAACAGAAGCCGGTGTAGGGGGGCAGGACAGGGGACAGAGGGTACAGTAGCTACTAATGTGGAAACCACAGCTGGGTCCAAAACAGCTGAAGGGAGTTTTGGGGGTCTCAACAGGCAGTGCACATGAATCTGGGAACTCAGATGGTACAGAGGTCACATATGTTGGGACCTCCACCCATCCAGAAGGTAGCGACATAGGAGCTCTGAGCTGCACAGTATATAAAGGGACTGATGATATGGGAAGCAAAAAGGGTAAAGAACTAGAGGTGGACAGCACTGGAAGGGGGCCCGCAATAGGAGATAGGCAGGGGAGCAGTTTTACTACAAGAAACATCTTGTAAGGCCTGTCAATGTTGAGGGAGCATTGGAGAGCTGGTGGCCTCAGCCACTGGTACAGTGCAAGATGGTAGCACCTTAGGGAGACAAGTCTGATTGCATTTTGACCCCCAAGACAATACTTGGCCAGAGTTCGAGTCAAGATCGGGTGAGTGTTTCTGCAACCATGGAAGTCCAACAATAATGGGGCTAGAAGACTTAGGGAGGATCAGGAAGGAGATTTCCTCACAATGAAGAGCGCCAACATGCATAGTTATGGAGGTGGTTCGGAAGTGTAGAGGTCCTAAGGCCAAGTTAGAGCCATCAACTGTAGATACTGATTGGGGTGTCATCAAGGGGACAAGAGGAATGCCTAATTCAGTGGCCAAAGATTGCTCAATGAAGTTCCTGGCTGTCCCAGAGTTCACATAAGTAGAAACCTGGTACGAGTTCAGGGCCCAATGAATGGAGACAAGTATAATAATCAGGAAAGGTGGCAGAATTCAGGTTCTGATCTAGATCACCTCCCTCAGAGTGACCTGAGTTTCCCGGGTGGGACAGAACATGACTTAATTAGATGACCTTCAGCCCCACAGTAAAGGCATAGACCAAATCTTAGGCGACGCGATCGCTCTTGTGGAGTAAGGTGTGTTCGGCCTAACTGCATAGGCTCTTCAGATGTTGGTACGGTTGCAGAGGTAAGTTGATCAGGGACTTTCTGGAAAACAGGAGCAAAAGAACCCACCGGGGGGTGACATGGACGAGCCCTTTCCAGATCTTGCTCCTGGAAGCAGATATCGATTTGGATCCTAAGAGCAATCAAGTCATCCAGGGTGGTGGGTATGGTTCTTCCAGCTAGTTCATCCTTAATACAGTCTGCTAGACCCTGCCAAAAGGTTGCAGACAGGGCCTCATTATTCCATGCCAGTTCCGAAGCTAAGGTACAAAACTGAACTGCATATTGTTCAACAGTCCTGCTACCTTGACAAAGCCGAAGAAGAACTCCTGCGGCAGATGAAGTCCTGCCGGGCACATCGAAGGTTTTACGGAAAGCTTGCAAGAAGGCTGGGAGGCTGCAAATAGTTGGATCTTGATGCTCCCATAGTGGTGAGGCCCAAGCCAGTGCTTCACCAGAGAGAAGGGAAATCATGTACGCCACCTTGGAACGGTCAATAGAAAAATGGTGGACTGCTAGCTCGAAGTGAATTGAGCATTGATTGATAAAGCCTCGACAAGTTTTGGGATCATCAGAGAAGTGAGGCAGTGGAGGCAGCTGGAGTCTCGAAGGACAGTGTTCCACTGGGGGAACAGCGGAAGGTGGAGCCGCAGGAACCAGAGCAGGGGCAGAAACAGAGGGTGAGGAAGAGGACACAACCTGTAGCTGATCCAACCGGGAGGAGAGTTCCTGCAGACAGTGCATGATTTGTTCTTGATATTCCTGCTGGACATCAACTCTGCGCCAAACCCTGAAGTTGTTCCAGGAGAGGCTGCTGTGTCTCCGAGGAGCTCATGGCCTGAGCAAACTGTCAGCACCTGTGGTAGTGAGGTCTATTGATCCTCAACTTGGGGTTCCCCAGGGAACGGAGTCTAAGCCCCAGCCTGCTTGTTCACCAGAGCCCCTGATGGTGGGGATGGACTTGCAGCAAGCTGGAACCAGGTCGCTGTCCCCAGGTACACCCAACTGAGGTGGAGGAGACCACTCATGGAGCAGAGTATAACGGGAGAAGACAGACAGAATCCAATAGGCAAGCCGAGGTCAAAACAAGCGGAAAACAAGCAAGATCAGGGAACAAAGCCGGGGTCGGTACACAAGTAGACAACATAGGAATCAAACAGCAGAAACACACGGGAGCTCCAACAACTAAGAAGTTGCTCAGGCAAAGTGGCCTAGTCTGAGCACATCTTATATAGACAGGCAAACAAGGAGGCGGGACATGTCCTATGATGCTCCTCTCTGTTTCTCTAATTGGTCCTCTGCTGCAACCAAGAATGAGGGCAGAGTGGGTAGCAATCTGAATTTCTGAGAGCCACCTGTCGCTTACAGTGTTCCCCTGTACAAGAGGCTCCAGTCCAGTCCGCATCTGTGTGTTTCCAGAGCATGCAGAGCCGCTATGTCACAGGAGTGGAAGAGGACTGATGTCACAGGAGTGGAAGAGGTCTGATGTCACAGGAGTGGAAGAGGTCTGATGTCACAGGAGTGGTCAAGAGGAAGACTCCAGTGGCAACCTGTGAAGCACTGGTGACCTCCATGCCCAAGAGGGTTAAGGCAGTGCTGGAAAATAATGGCGGCCACACAAAATTTTGACACTTTGGGCCCAATTTGGACCTTGTCACTTAGGGGTGGACTCACTTTTGCTGCCAGCGGTTTAGACATTAATGGCTGTGTGTTGAGTTATTTTGAGGGGACAGCAAATTTACATGTTATACAAGCTGTACACTGACTACGTCACATTGTAGCAACGTGTCATTTCTTCAGTGTTGTCACATGAAAAGATAGAATCAAATATTTACAAAAATGTGAGGGGTGGACTCACTTCTGGGAGATACTGTGTGTATATATATGTGAGTGTGTGTTGCTGGGGGTCAATCGTTGGTGGGACGGATCTTCTCATAAAGGAGAGGTTTATTGCTGCTGGATATTGGAGGGTCTATTGACGTTGGCTGTTGGGATTCTGTTGTTGCTGGGGGCCTATTGTTGCTGGGTAGGTCTATTGTTGCTGGCTGCTGGGGGATCTATTATTGCTGGAGAGAATCTGTGTTGATGGGGGGGGGGGGTGATCTATTGTTGCTGGTGGGGGGTCTACTATTGCTAGTTCCAGGAGATCTATTTTACTACTTTTCTTGTTATCATTAACAAATTCCATAAACAAAACTTAGCACCACAAAATGATACTTGGTTCTCTATTCTCTAAAAGGGGTGGCACTGGGAGGTGGGTAGGGGGTGGAACCAAGGAACAGGAGGTGGGTAGGGGGTGACTCGGAAAGGGGGAGTTCCTGCACCTGTTCTCTGAGAAAAAAAGCCATGTGTGTGTGTGTGTATGATATATATATATATATATATATATACAATTTATAACATATTCCACAATCCTTGTATCGACAAAATGCAATTTAGTGACTGAGCCACGAGGAAGAGTCTAACAGACACACACAAACCTCAGTACAGTCATTGTTAAAAATGAAGCTCTTCCATTGCATCTGCCTTTCTACACACAGCTGACCTTTTCTACACTTCTTACTGAGCAACTGTTGTGAAATAAAGCATAAAGAGTCCGGGGGTTAGGAGTATGTCCTATATAGCCCAGTATACAGAGTGCAAAGGTCAGAAGTATGTCATATACAGCCCAGGGTAAAAAGTGCAGTGATAAGTAATATAATGTATAGAGCCAGTGTATGGAGTGCAATGGTCAGGAGTATTTAATATACAACCCCAAGGTACAGAGTGCAGTGGTAAGGAACATATAATATACAGCCCAGTGTACAGAGGAAAGGAATATATCATATACAGCTCAGGGTATAGAGTGCATTGATAAGGAAAATGTATACACAGCCTAGTGTACAAAGTGCATTTGTCAGGAGTATGTCATATGTAGCACCCTCCTAGTAAGGTTAAGCCGCATAAATGTTTGTTCCATGGTTTTTTTTTTCTTAACCGCTCCCTTTGTTGCCTTGGGATACTTTGCTGTTGGGAATAGAAACGTTTGTTAGTTCAGCCCATGAGGACAGGGCCTGTTTTTGGCGGGGGGTGTATGTAGTCCCCTCCTAGTTAGATTTCTAATAGATTTAGGTAAATTTAGTTTTGGGTCCTCTGTAGCGATTGGAGAAGGTTTGATTGTTCTTGGCTGTTCTAGGTTCTGCTGGCTAAAGGTTCAAATATTGCACCCAGCATTCCACTAGGTTCTGGAATATAGTGGGTTGGGAGAGGTGGACATTAAGCTGAATATTCATGTGAACTCTGAGGGTGGCGAGCAGGAAGCTGAGGTAATCGTAATCACGGGGCCTAGAACAGTAGGGTCCTTTGCCCTAGTGGAGAAAGACCTAGCCTGCAGGGGCTGTCTACCTTCCTGGGCCATCTAGCTGGAGTTTACAGGAGGTTTCTTGTAGGGAGAGCTGGGGGGCTGACTGCTGAAGCTGAGAGAATAGTATGGAGAAAAGCCTGCTGAAGATCCAGCTTGAAGGCTCACGGAACATGGTCTTGGCTGATACTTGATGGAGGAAAGCCTGCTGAACATCCGGCTTGGAGGCTCACGGTACAGGGTCTTGGCTGATACTGGATGGAGGAAAGCCTGCTGAAAATCCGGCTTGAAGGCTCTCGGTACAGGGTCTTGGCTGATACTGGATGGAGGAAAGCCTGCTGAAGATCCGGCTTGGAGGCTCACGGTACAGGGTCTTGGCTGATACTGGATGGAGGAAAGCCTGCTGAAGATCCAGCTTGGAGGCTCACGGTACAGGGTCTTGGCTGATACTGGATGGAGGAAAGCCTGTTGAACATCCGGCTTGGAGGCTCACGGTACAGGGTCTTGGCTGATACTGGATGGAGGAAAGCCTGCTGAAAATCCGGCTTGAAGGCTCTCGGTACAGGGTCTTGGCTGATACTGGATGGAGGAAAGCCTGCTGAAGATCCGGCTTGGAGGCTCACGGTACAGGGTCTTGGCTGATACTGGATGTAGGAAAGCCTGCTGAAGATTCGGCTTGGAGGCTCACAGTACAGGGTCTTGGCTGATACTGGATGGAGGAAAGCCTGCTGAAGATCCGGCTTGGGGGCTCACGGTACAGGGTCTTGGCTGATACTGGAAGGAGGCATCCATGTATACAGGGACACAGTGAGTAAAGGTCTGAGACATCCTGAGAGACTGTTGCTGTTTTTGTCCCATTTTGTGAGAGGCTGTCCCAGATTTGCTGGCTCAGGGCTGTTTCCAGGGTGGGATCCCCCTGAGCTGTACGTCCACATCCCTTTTCACTAAAGGCCTGCCTAGGAGAGGCAAGTTCCTACTAGAGAGTGTCCTCAGATACATTGCACTGGTTCTGGGGTATCCTAAGGCTCACCCTACTTGCCAATCAAGTTCTTCCAACATTAAACCCAACAAAAAAAGAAAAGACTTCTGCCTGGTTGTTGAGTGAAGAGACTAAAACTGCTGTATGCCTTTCTACCGTGTATCCTTTAGGGAATGGTACCTGGGACAAACAGCGAGACCAGCTAGCATAGTGGTAAGAAATATATATTATACAGCTCTGCACACAGAGTACAGTGGTCAGGGTCATGTCAATATAAAGCCTGGGGTACAGAGTGCAATGGTCAGGAGCTTATCATATGCAGGCCACTGAGCAGAATGCAGTGGTCAGAAATATATCCTATACAGCCTAGAGTAAAGTGTGCAGTGGTCAGGAGTATGTTATATACAGCCCAGCATACAGAGTGTAGGGGTTAAGAGTATGCCATATGTAGTAAAATATTATAGAGCCCAAGAACATCAACAGAGCCCAAGGACATCAGTAAGCCACATTAATAAAAGTAATATAAGTAAAGCTATTACTCAAAATGAAAACAAAACAGGCTGATTGCAGTACAATACAATACAGTACCGACTCCTGGTCCGAAAATCAAAATTTTGGTTCACCAGCCACAAAGCTAGTCACTTAACAGGGTTACATCCCTGACTGCCTGAGGGGTTCCAAAGAGGAGGTTTCTAGCCACTAAGCAGTCTCTGTCATAAGCAGGCCACCTCTCTGACTCCTCAGTATGTCCTGCTACACTTTGCCCTTTATAGACTCCTGACGATGGCTTCCTGTTTAACCACTTGCCTACCAGGCACTTATACCCCCTTATTTACCAGGCCAATTTTCAGCTTTCAGCGCTGCCGCACTTTGATTGACAATTGCGCGGTCATGCAACATTGTACCCATATGAAATTTTGATCATTTTTTTCTCACAAATAGAGCTTTCTTTTGGTGGTATTTAATCACCACTGGGTGCTTTACTTTTTGCGCTATAAATAAAAATTGCCAAAAATTAAAAAAAAAAAAAAAAAAAAGTTTCTTTGTTTCTATTATAAAATTTTTTAAACAGGTAATTTTTCTCCTTCACTGATGTACGTTGATGAGGCAGCACTGATGGGCACTGATAGGCGGCACTGATGGGCACTGATAGGCAGCACTAAAGGGCACTGATAGGCAGTACTAATGAGGTGGCACGGATAGGCGGCACTGATAGACAGCACTAATGAGGTGTCACGGATAGGCAGCACTAATATGCGGCACTGATAGGCGGCACTGATAGGTGACACTGATGATGGGTACTGATAGACGGCACTGACTGGCATCACTGCTGGGCACTGACTGGCGGCACTGACTGGCAAAACCGCTGGGCACTGACTGGTGGCACTGACTGGCAGCACTGCTGGGCTGCACTGGTGGGTGGCACTGGTGGGCAGCACTGGTGGGTGGGCACAGGTGGGTGGCACTGCTGGGCACAGGTAGGTGGCACTTCTGGGCACAGGTGTGTGACATTGCAGAGTGGCACAGGTGGGTGCACTGCTGGGCACAGGTGGGTGATCTGCTGGGCACAGGTGGGCGGAGCTAGTGGGCACACTGCTGGGCACAGGTGGGCGGAACTTGCGGGTGGCACTGCTGGGCACCGATCATCAGGGCACTGATCATCAGTGCCCTGATGATCGGTGCCGATCCCCGCTCTGACAACTGCCGGTTCTCGGCAGTACTTTCCTCATGATCTGACAGCGTGAGGAAAGTGCAGCAGAGAACCGGCACTTGCATTTCCCTCTGATCAGCGTGTCATTGGACACCACTGATCACGTGGTAAAAGGCCGCTGTGATTGGCCTTTTACCACATCACGTGATCAGCTGTGTCCGTAGGACACAGCGATCACGGAGATCGCCGGGTGCGCGCCCCCTGGGGCGCGCAGGAGAGCGCGTTCTGGGGGGACGTCATATGACGTCCACTCAGAACTGGCCGGCCGCAGTGCAGCCGTCATTCGGCTATCTGCGGTCGGCAACAAGTTAATAGGCCTAAGCAGATGGGTTAACTCCTTCAGGACTAAAGTCCCTGTCATCAGGGTTTAGAGGCTCTTTCCCACCCCAAAGTCTCTCTGAGCCTCATAATTCTAGGTTTCAAATGAAGATTTACCAATCCAAGGATGACTTACCAATACCAAGGATTGGTAAGTCTTCAAATGAAGACTTACCAATCCTGAGAGCACTATATGCCAGTTCTCTCTTCTTCACGTGGACTATGAAGTATGGATAAGAACCCATACTCAGAAATTGCATTCAATTCATCGCCATTAAAGGGACCATAAGTAACAGGGAAATGTATCGCCTGTCCAGGAACCATCCCTGGAGACCTGTACTGTAGCTTAACATATATAGATAAGTTGTCACATTTCACAGCAATAGCAATACTGCAGATGGAGTTTTCACACAGCTGAACACCCATTTTGTTCACCCATTCACTGAACCCCCAAACATGCCAAATTATGTGTGAACATGGTTTGAGTCCAAACCAGAGCTCATTCCTAGTGGTCAATGTGGTGGTCCCTTACATAGGTGACCAATGGGAAAAGGACCCCCTTATATCAGTGGTAAGTGTAGTGGTCCCTTTACATTGGTGACCAATGGGAGAAGGACCCCCTTATATCAGTGGTCAGTGTAGTGGTCCCTTACATTGGTGATCAATGGGAGAAGGATCTCCTTATGTCAGTGGTCAGTGTAGGGGTCCCTTTACATTGGTGACCAATGGGAGAATGACCCCCTTATATCAGTGGTAAGTGTAGTGGTCCCTTTACATTGGTGATCAATGGGAGAAGCATCCCCTTATATCAGTGGTCAGTGTAGTGGTCCCTTACATTGGTGACCAATGGGAGAAGGACCCCTTATATCAGTGGTCAGTGTAGTGGTCCCTTACATTGGTGACCAATGGGAGAAGGACCCCCTTATATCAGTGGTCAGTGTAGTGGCCCCTTACATTGGTGACCAATGGGAGAAGGACCCCCTTATATCAGTGGTCAGTGTAGGGGTCCCTTTACATTGGTGACCAATGGGAGAAGGACCCCCTTATATCAGTGGTCAGTGTAGTGGTCCCTTACATTGGTGACCAATGGGAGAAGGACCCCCTTATATGAGTGGCCAGTGCTGTGGTACCTTTACATTGGTAACCAATAGGAGAAGGATCCCCTTAGATCTTAGAGAAGGACATTCTTGCATTGTCATCAGTGGGAAGACTGCCCCCCCATACAGATCATTGATGTCAGATGTTAATGAGACAGAAATTGTTCATTGCTCAAGGAACTCCTAGAAACCTTTGGAGGACCCCTGGCTGAGAAAGGCTGGACTAGGCAGTCATATATTTCTCCATTACAGTAATATAGTTCTATCCACCTTGGTGGAGATGACCTGATCTACATAGCTACCAACATATCAAAAACATTTCTAAGAACACCTTTTTTTGCTGTGTGTCTATCAAGCTATTGTAGATGGAGAATGCACTTTAATTAGGGGTGGGACATTCATTTAAAACTAGTAGTTCTACAAAAAGCATTTTGTTGTAGTGCTGCCTCCGCAGGGCCCACTTGATAGTGCTTGTCCCCAGTGGTTGCCCTGACCTTGCAAGCCTCCTGACACCTCTGATACTTTGGGTTCAGACCACAAGTATACAACAAGAATAATGGGTTTAGGATATACAACCCCAATTAACTCCTAAAAGCAGAACACAGGTAAAAAATAGGTAAACAATCAGCAACGTTTAACATGGTATACAGTCATGAGTAGTAAGCTTCAACTATTTAATTGCAACATCAACAGCAAGAGGGTGATGAAAAGGCTTGTTGACATATCAGCTCCCTCCATGCCACCAGCTGTCAGGGCTCCAGGTATGACCAGTGGTGTGTGGACTGACACAGGGAAACAGACTTCAGGTGTAGCGTGTAAAACAATATAATTTATTAAGGGCAACACAAACATAAACGCAGTGCAACAAACCAAACCCAAAGCTAACACAAATACGTACAACAAGGTGCAACAAACCCAAACCTTAATTGATATATATATAAATATGGAGCACAACGTAGTCAGGCGGGCCGGGTCGGTAGCAAACGGGCAGACAAGGTACAAGGAGTAGGCAGAAGATTGGTCAGGAGTAGCCGAGGTCAGTGCAGGCAGAGTTCAAGCAGAGGCAGGATGCAGGTACAGGGGCTCATGGGAACAATACACCAAGGCCCTGACTGCAGGCCTGGCCATTCCTTATAAATACACCTCCTGCAATCAGCCTCAGGTGATGGCTTGATTGCAGGAGTGAGCTTCTGGCTGCTGAGAGCACCCACTGGCCAGCCCTGGTACTGCAGCCCACAAGGCAGGTGAGTCCCACCACCCTTGGCGAGACCATTCCTGACACCAGCGCCGCAACAAGGCATGCAGAGAAATATGTAAATGATGTAGTCTAGCATAAATAGATATAAGTACCCTAAATTGAATAACAATGGTCTTAGAAGAGAAAAAAGGTCCCTTTAACTAGAGATTGCAACTTGAATCTTGCGATGTCTAAGGATTCTGATTATGGTGGTCTTCTGCTAGCAATGGTGGGGCCCATAAGCATTAGTGAATACTAGTAATTCAAGTAAAAGTGAAACAGATGAGCCATGGTACTGCTCAAAGCAAAGGTCTCCTTGTGACTGAGATGTTTAGGTGTCTGCATGTAGTGTCTCTAGAGCAGGGGTGGACTGACCATTTGGAAACTCAGGCACTGTCTGAGGGCCCGGGGTCAGTAGGGGGCCCCATGAGATGCCCCTGGTACCTTTTTCATAGGCTTTTTTGAGTTTGGGCAAGGACACAGGGGCCCCATGATCCCCTATTGCCCGGGAGCCCCATGAGTTGTCAGTCCGCCCCTGCTCTAGAGTGATGACAGAAAGAGATTTGTGCATCTGCCCGCTCACCAATCTTATGGATAGCAAGACCTCCTAGGCACAAGAAGTCTTGCTCAGTCAGTGCAGTGAGCAGAGATTTCTGTGGGAAGACCGGAACAGTGACAGTCCTGATCAGGGGCGGACTGACAACTCATGAGGCCCCCGGGCAATAGGGGATCATGGGGCCCCTGTGTCCTTGCCCAAACTCAAAAAGCCTATGAAAAAGGTACCAGGGGCATCTCATGGGGCCCCCTACTGACCCCAGGCCCTCGGGCAGTGCCTGAGTTTCCAAATGGTCAGTCCGCCCCTGGTCCTGATGCAGAGAAGCTGATGCGATCCCAGTGTGGAGATCGGCATCACTGCTCTGCTGAACTGATTTGCACAGTCTAGCAGCAGTAGTCCCACAATCTTTCTCTGGGGAAAATGGCAGTTCCCCTGTGTTCAGCTCTGAATCAGTGCTGCAGCAAAGTGTCATTTCTTCAGTGTTGTCACATGGAAAGATAGAATCAAAGATTTACAAAAACATCAGGGGCGGACTCACTTCTGGGAGATACTGTACCTGGCCGGGTTTTGAGAAGCCAGGTACTCATCACCGGACACACCGCAGGAGGAGCATCCAGAGAGGAGCCCATTCCACACATTGTACCCAGCGTCCTGATGGATGTGGAGATAAGGAAAGTCTCTGCCTGACCGTTCTCTGATACCCACCCAATGCTGATCAATATTGGCTACCTACAGCCCCTTGTCTACAAACAGATTGGTCTTCTATTACCTGGCCCCAAAACAAATTTACACTTTACACTATGACTCTCGAGACAAAGCCCAGGACAAGAACATGGTGGAATAGATAGCTGAAAAGAAGGACTGTCTTGGCAAATTGGATCTACAGTCCATACACACCCAGCACAAGGCCGGGGTCACATGACCAGATGCTTCTCGGGGCTGCAGTTCCTCTGCGCTCCACATGGTGGGGATCTCATTTCTACCCAGACAGGAAGTCTCTATGGAAGACAGAAAGTGATGTCAGGTACAGGCAGGAAGTGATGTCAGGTACAGGCAGGAAGTGATGTCAGGTACAGACAGGAAGTTCCATGTGGTACCAAATAGGAGGCAGAAGTGGCAGCAGAGGAGGTAATTATTTATTTATTTATCGAGTTTATATAGCGCCAAAGGGTTTGCTCAGCGCTGTACAATAGAGGGGGGGAACAATACATGAAACAGTACAGTAACATCAAACAGCACACAGGGGTAAGAGGGCCCTACTCTTTCGAGCTTACAATCTAGGAGGGAGGGGGTAGAGGTACAGGAGGAAACGGCTGTGGGGGATGGAGTGGTAGGAGGAGGGAAGGGCAGCGGCTGTTAGGTGAGGGTGGGGTAGGCTTCCCTGAAGAGGTGGGTTTTGAGGGAGCGCCTGAAGGTGAGGAGGGAAGGTGACAGTCTGATGGATTGGGGTAGTGAGTTCCAGAGGATGGGGGAGGACCTGGAGAAGTCTTGCAGTCGTGCGTGGGAGGAGGAGACCAGGGAGCAAGATAGAAGGAGGTCCTGTGAAGAGCGAAGGGTACGGGTAGGGTAGGTACCTGGGAATCAGGTCGGTGAGGTAGTTAGTTAGGGGCAGTGTTGTGAATGGCTTTATAGGTCAGAGTGAGCAGTTTGAATTTAATGCGTTGGGCAATGGGGAGCCAGTGGAGGGAGAGGCAGAGGGGGGTGGCAGAGGTGGAGCAGGTGGTGAGGTGGATGAGTCTGGCAGCTGAGTTCAGGATGGTCTGAAGCGGGGAGAGTTTGCACTGGGGTAGGCCGATGAGGAGGGAGTTGCAGTAGTCAAGGCGTGAGATAATCAGGGAGTGAACGAGTAGTTTAGTAGTGTCTGGGGTAAGGAAGGAGCGTATCTTGGCAATGTTGCGGAGGTGGAGCCTGCATGTATTTGTGAGTGATTTGACATGAGGTTGGAAGGAAAGGTTTGAGTCCAGAATGACGCCAAGGACCTTGGCTTGCTGGGCGGGATTGATGGTGGTGTTGTTGGTAGTGATGGAAAGGATGGGGGGGGGGGCACGGGAAGGGGGAAAGACGAGAAGCTCGGTTTTGGAGAGGTTGAGTTTGAGGAAATGGAGCGACATCCAGTCAGAGATGTCGTTTAGGAGGTGAGTGATGCGGGCGGAGAATGTGGGGGTGAGGTGAGGGGTGGATAGGTAGATTTGAGTATCATCAGCATAGAGGTGGTAGTACAATAAGATGTTATTGTCTATTTACACCCAGTAACCCCCCGTCACGTCCGTCCTCTTCCTCCATAGTCACGTCCGTCCTCTTCCTCCATGGTCACGTCCGTCCTCTTCCTCCATAGTCATGTCCGTCCTCTTCCTCCATAGTCACTGTGACATCTTTTCCATATCTCCAGCAGATGATGATACACACATATATAGTGTGGGAACCCAGATTAACCCCTTCAGGGGCACAACATTCCCCCAATTATAATCTTATTTTATAAGATTCAAACAGGAAGAAAGAGGGAAAATGTCATTTGTAGGAAATGTCCTGAAAACGTATTTCTCCATAATGATCCCAGTCTCAGATATTCATCCTGAAATGTGATCAGTAAAGTCTCCGGAGAAAGTCTCCGGAGACACGGAGATCACATAGGATAGGATGTGTCCTGGCAAAGCCCAAAGACAACGTTCATCTTTCAGTTTAGGACGCACCCGGGAGAAATGATTCTGTGTACAGAAACCTCACAGAGCGCCCCCCCACAGCTCCTTCTCCCCCATGTCCCTCCATCCAGAGTCAGAGAATCCTATGACATCACACTGACCTCACAGCTCCTCCTCCCAATGTCCCTCCAACCAGAGTCAGAGAATCCTATGACATCACACTGACCTCACAGCTCCTCCTTCCAATGTCCCTCCATCCAGAGTCAGAGAATCCTATGACATCACACCGACCTCACAGCTCCTCCCCCCAATGTCCCTCCATCCAGAGTCAGAGAATCCTATGACATCACACCGACCTCACAGCTCCTCCTCCCAATGTCCCTCCATCCAGAGTCAGAGAATCATATGACATCACACTCAGCTCCTACTCCCAATGTTCCTCCATGCAGAGAGAATCCTAAGACATCACGCTAACCTCACAGCTCCTCCAATGTCCCTCCATCCAGAGTCAGAGAATCCTATGACATCATGCTGACCTCACAGCCCCTCCCCCCCAATGCCCTTCCATCCAGAGTCAGAGAGTCCTATGAGATCACACTGTCCTCACAGCTCCTCCTCCTAATGTCCCTCCAACCAGAGTCAGAGAATCCTATGACATCACACTGACCTCACAGCTCCTCCTCCCAATGTCCCTCCATCCAGAGTCAGAGAATCCTATGACATCACACTGACCTCACAGCTCCTCCTCCCAATGTCCCTCCATCCAGAATCAGAGAATCCTATGACATCACACTGACCTCACAGCTCCTCCTCCCAATGTCCCTCCATCCAGAGAGAATCCTATGACATCACACTGACCTCACAGCTCCTACTCCCAATGTTCCTCCCATGCAGAGAGAATCCTAAGACATCACACTGACCTCACAGCTCCTCCTCCCAATGTCCCTCCATCCAGAGTCAGAGAATCCTATGACATCATGCTGACCTCACAGCCCCTCATCCCAATGTCCCTCCATCCAGAGTCAGAGAATCCTATGACATCACAGCTCTTCTTCCCAATGTCCCTCCATCTGTCTCTTTTATCTTTTTTTTCTATGCTCTTAGAATGTAGGCCCTTGGCATTGTTATGTGCAAAGCAGGGTCATGATTGTGCAATGTATGCTATAATGCCAGAATGGCTTCAAAATTATTTTAACCTTCAGAATGAGGTCAAATTCCTATACCCTGGGGGGGGGGTCCTGTGTGGGGGGAAATATACCTCAGCCTGAAGTGGGGCTTTAATAAAATGGAGACCTGAACCGGAGAGGTGAGGAGGATTCTGGGAATATCATTTGATGTGACTATTTGTGTTCAGATGTAGAGTTTTCCTCCTGTGAAGTCTGGAGATCATATGACATCACATTGCCTCCACCTCCCTCCCTCCCTGATAGAAGAGAGAAAGAAGAAGAAGATTCTAGAAGTCACCAGAGAGATCACTGAGCTGCTGACAGGAGAGGTGAGCGGTGCCGGGAATTCTGGGACATTCTCCAGTAACAGACAAGGGATGTGTCTGGATGGTGACTGTATCATTGTGTGTGTCAGGTTCCTATAAGGTGTCAGGGTGTCACTGTCTATTTCTCCATGGAGGAGTGGGAGTATTTAGAAGGACACAAGGATCTCTACAAGGACGTCATGATGGACAATCAGCCGCCCCTCACATCACCGGGTAAGAGGAGACTTTATTGTAAAGGAGAGAGCAGTACGGAGGATCCACCTAGATCCCCCATCATCTGATAAACACATAGAAACAATGGATTCAGTCAGTGTGTGTGTTTCCTACAGATGGATCCAGTCATGGGAACCCACCAGAGAGATGTCCCCGTCCTCTGTATTCCCGGGATTCCACACAGGAAGGTCACACCATCCCTCACCATCATCAGGTAGATGAGGAACAATCACTGATAGTATCATTAGGATCTGTACATTATCTGCATTGTTACCATTGATGTCATTTTTTATTATATATTCAGAGTGGAAACCTGAGAGAGATCCTAAAGTTGAGGTTAAAGAAGAGATAAAAGAGGAGGAGGATGAGGATGGGGGGATGGAGGAGTCAGAGCTTCTCAAAAGAACACAAAGATCTGTACCAGGACACCATGGTGGAGTCATCCAGCTACAGAAACCACCCAGAGAGATGTCCCCGTCCTCTGTATTCCCGGGATTCCACACAGGAAGGTCACACCATCCCTCACCATCATCAGGTAGATGATGACAATTATTGGTAGTTGTGATTTATACACAGCATGTTTGTTACAATGAATGTTTTATTATATCTTTCAGAGTGGAATCCTCGGGGATGATAATATTGATGTTAAAGAAGAGTATAAAGAGGAGGATGAGGAGTATGGAGTGATGGAGGAGTTTTCAGAAGGACACAAGGATATGATGGAGCCACCTAATACCAGGAACCCACCAGAGAGATGTCCCCGTCCTCTGTATTCCCGGGATTCCACACAGGAAGGTCACACCATCCCTCACCATTACAAGGTTGGGGATGGAGCATCTAGAACATGGAGTCTGTAATGTTTCTTACATGTGGGGATGTTTTTTTTGATGTTTAGAATCCCTGGGGTCATACTTTAGGGCAGATGATATTTTCTCTCATTTCCTTTGATTTAGAGTGGAGATCCATTGATATAGAAATTGAGGTAGAAAGCCCTAAGAGTGTCAGTTGTGAGGGGGATGATCAGCAGTCTTTGTTGGTCCTCATGGAGGAGGATGGATGGAATAACGGGGACTTTATAGAGGAGGATCACTCCTACAGGATCAGCACAGGTGGGTCATGGACACTGGAATCCATTCCCATTCATACTGCTCACTGATTGGTCCAGAGTGGGCTGGGACTGGGTTTGATATCAGCCTGTAATCCCCTGACTTTCCTGAACTGTGTTCCCCGTCCTGTATTCCTGTGATTTCACTCATAAAAATTATATTTTACAGTGATGCATTTTCTTCTTTATTTCTAGACTTGGTTTAGGGTGAAGATCTGATAGATATAAAAGTTGAGGTGAAAGCAGAAGAAGAAGAAGAGGCTATGTGAGGGATGATCAGCAGTCTATGGAGGAGGATGGAATAACGGGGACATTTATAGAGGAGGACACTCCTACAGAGATCAGCACAGGTGGGTCATGAACACTAAATCCATTCCTCCACCCATACTGCTCACTGATTGGTCCAGAGTAGGGCGGGGACTGGGTGATATCAGCCTGTAATCCCCTGGTCACTTTCCTGAGCTGTGTTCCCCGTCCTGTATTCCTGGATTTCTCTCGGATAATCTTCCTTCTCTGTGCTGCAGACACAATTTATGTATCTAGACTGGATTTATGGAGGTTCTGGGGTTCAGCTGGCAGCAAAATGTGGATTTCTGACCTAGGCACCTAATCCATGTAAAATCTTGGATCTTCTTCCCCATGCCCAGGTCTATCAAGTTCTTTCCACAGAACACATTCTCCCAGGGTTACATTGCTCTGTTGTTCCTGGCTGTGCACTCTAAGAAACCCTCCCCTGGTACCCCTACCGACCTGAACAACTTAAGACCCATGTATCCCTGCTGCCATTCTGAACTCTAAACTATATATCCATGCTTAGTCACATTACATGACTCCCACCCCTGCACAACATACCTAAATTGTACATTTACAGTCCGGCACTATATCTCGTCCATTACATACTCCTGACCCCTGCACTAATACTCTATGTTGTACAATACATACTATTGACCCCTGCACATATGGCCATTATACATATACTCTCTACTACTGACCCTCTGCACTATATGACTCTATGGTTGACATTACATACCCCTGACTCCTCTTAAAAAACTCTCCCTCGGCCTACAGAGACTCCGCTCTCTCCTGCACTATATTCTCCTATCTACATTACAGCGAGCCTTCAGTGTTACCTATGACACTGCCATACTCCTCACTCCATTCTCTGTACTCTCTGGTAATCCCCTCAAGGCTCTGTCCTGGATGTAGGAAACAAAGATGACTGACCATTGGAAATGAAAACTCGGGCACTGCCCGAGGGCCCGGGGTAGAACTCTATGGATGTACATTAGATGCTCCTGACCCCTGACCTTTTTCATAATTTCATACTAGTTGAGTTGAGTTTGGGCAAGGACACAGGGGCTCCATGATCCCCCCTGCCTATTACCCTATGTTGTACAGTACATACCTGCTTGGACCCCTTCTCTTCTCCATATGCTACAGGATCACTTGTTGTCACATTGATAAACTCCTGACGGCTTCAACTATATCTCTATGCTGACGACATACAAATCTATCTCTCTGACCCCTCACCTCACCCCTTCATGTTGTCCATTCCATTACTAACCTACTAAGTTACATATCCTGGATGGATGTCACTCCACTTACTCAAACTCAACCTTTCAACAATGGTTCTTAGTCTTATGTATGTACATTACATACCCTGACCCCTTTCCTTCTCCATCAAGATTGATTTAACACTACCATCAGCCCCTCCCCCCCCCTGCTATGTTACAGGGTACAGGTCCCTACATCCTGACTCCCATGCTGTCATTTCAGCCCCAGGTCAATCAATGACAAACTCATGTTGACATTCACCTTGCAACATCTCCAAGATACGGCCGTTCCTAACCTCGGAAACCAGCAAATGCTTATTCATGGAGTTTTACTATTCTCGAAAGACTCTCTCTCACTTTTTGTCCAGTTATATCTCTCCTTGAGGAGTATTGTAACTCCATCCTCATCCTCAGGTCCTGTACTCTTGGACTTTGCTAGGACTATCCCTGCTCTTCAGTGTACTGAATGCTGTAGACTCATGGAAACCATTCTGTCATCTGCACCTCTCTCTGCCAATCCCCCACTGGCTACATTGCTCAATGGATAAAATTGGACACTGACGTATAAAGCTGTTCATGTACAAACTCTGCCCCTAATTACATCACCGACCTTGTCTCTAAATACCACCCAAACCATACTTCCGTTCCTCGCAAGACCTCCTCCTCTCTATAGCTCCCTGTCTCCTCCTCCCTTGCTCATCTTCCAAGATTTCTCATTCATTTCTTCACCCATCCTCTGGAACTCCCTTGACCCCAAGCTATCAGGCTATTTAGCCTACTTTGCTCACCTTTAGGTGCACTCTGAAAACCCATCTCTTCAGGGAAGACCTACCCCGCCCACCAGCTAATACTGGAATCCATACTCAGTACTCCTAAAATCTGACCATGGGATCCATGCTCTAGCTAACTACTCTTGTACCACTAAGTTCTGCCCTCCTCAGATTGTAAGCTCCAAGGAGCAGGGCCCTCCTGCATCCCTCTTGTATTGAGCTGTATTGTTACTGTACTGTCTCCCTCCTTAACGTAAAGCGCTGAGCAAACTGTTGGCACTATATAAGTCCTGTATACAATAATAATTATGTTGAATGTCTTGGTATGCATCACTGACGCCTTAATCCTTTCCTTTCACTGGAACTAGGGGGCCAAGCCAAACCCCTGAAAGACAATCCACATGATCAGGATAATCCCCCCCTCCACCAAACTTTACACTTGGCACAATTCAGTCAGGTGGAACCTGTGACCACTTCTTGCTGGCAACTGCCAAACCCAGACATGTCCATCTGTGAACATCTGCCTTGGACTGAGAGACAGTGATGACTTGATCAGGTCTGCACTATAGTCAACACGTCTGTCACCACTGCTCTCTCACTGTCTCAGTGTCAACTGTGGCCCTTGAGTGCAGTTATACTGTTTGTCCAACACTTTGCATGATTCACAGTTTCACTTGATATAATGCTTGGATGCAGCTGCTCGGCCATGGAAACCCATTCCATGATAGCTCTCTTCACACACTGTTGTTGTACATGGCTCATCCTGAAGGCCCCACCATGTAGGTCTTTAGCTATTGACTCTGCATTACAGTTGGTGACCCTGCGCACTGTGCACTTCAGCATGTACTTGGCTTCACCCTACTCCTGACCATGTGACTTGTGGACGTATCACTACCACTTGGTGGCTGAGTTGTGTTGTTACAGTCCTGACCCCTGCACTTGTATAATCCCACTAACAGTTGTGTGGAACATTTACAAGTACTCAGGAAATGTGCACTATATGGACTCTATTGCCCAGGTGGCAACCTATCATTACATACTTGGACCTGACCCCTGAGACTATATACTCTATTTGTACACTCATACTTCTCATTCTTCTGTTCCTGACCCCTGCACTATATACTCTTATGTTGTACATTACATACTCCTGACCCTGCTGATATATACACCTGTGTTGTAGGGGATTGACATACTCCTGACCCCTGCACTATATACTTGAAGTGGGGGATTCCAACACTTTTGTCAATATAGTAGTGTCTCTTCTCCCCCTGTATAATATACACATATATGTACATTCTCTTTTAATATGTTCCTCTTTTGTTACACCCATTTCCTACCAGCTGGACATTTTATATCGGATGATGTGTGATGGAGCACAGACTTTTACATGGTGATAATAATGTGATAACATCCTCCAACTTTGGACCCTTAAACAGAAAGTGATAATGAGGGAGGAGTCAATACCCCAATGATGGTGGTCTTCAGGATCAGTCCAGTCTTCATCTTGGTTGTTCTCCCCCCATCCTCACTCTCTGACCTCTGGTGGGGCTCAGCCCCGCTGTTCTTCATGACTAAATCATGGACTAAATAAGGAAGTGCAGTACTTCTTGTGTTGGGAAGATGGCGATGAGTGATAGAGGGGGGGGGGACCCTCGTCCTATAATCCCCTCATCACTGTCCCTCCTATAAAAGACAGTTCTGGTTGTTTCCTCACTCTCTGACTAAGGTCCATGAATAAAGAAATGACCTGGTAGGAGATCAGAGGAGCGCCATTTCCTAGTTCCCTTGAGGGTGGAATTGTAAGCTCCTCAGAGACCAAGCTGCCTGATGTGGGCGGAGTCCTGGTTTGGGGGAACCAATCAGCTCCTGTCTAGTAATCCTCTTTGTCTTTGTATTTTAGTCCATGGCCGGGAGATGAGGAAAACCTCCGAGGATTGTCTCACTTTGTCTCCAGACTGGAAAGTAGAAGATGAGGACATCACACAGTATAGTCCAGGAGAAAACCCGGCTCCCTCCAATGTCCATCCGGCACCACCCAGTGTAGATGGACCATCGGATTCCTCGTATCCTGAGGAACCTCAGACTGTGCGGGACCAGGCCGGCCTTCCAACAGGGAAGAGGTTCTCCTGTACTGAGTGCGGGAAATGTTTCCATTTTAAATCCAAACTTAATGTTCATAAAAGATCTCACACAGGTGAAAAGCCATATTCCTGTCCTGAGTGTGGGAAATGTTTTTCAGTGAAATCACAATTTACATACATCTCACACAGGTGAGAAGCCGTATTCCTGTCCTGAGTGCGGGAAATGTTTTTTACTTAAATCACATTTTACAGACATCAGAGATCTCACACACGTGACAAGCCATATTCCTGTTCTGAGTGCGGGAAATGTTTTACA